CTCTACCTACTTCAGTCTCAATTTTTCTCAATAATCTAAAATATTTCTGGCCCTCTTCTTGAAATCCATTTTAGAAGGTATAGGGCACTCCTAGGCAAATTAAATTTCTCAAAATAGTTGCATATGTCAATGACCCCAGCTCTTGCAACACAGAAATCAGAAGTAGCACAGCAGTGCAGCTGTTCCAAAAGCACAGGGTAACAATTTCCTACATGATCCAGAATAAACCTTCAACTGTCTCCATTTCATTAAACAGTAACTGCTACATTCTAGCTACCAACTTCTCTTAAGACTCTATCACGGAAGGTCTATTAACACATCGGAAAAAAATAATCAAGTCAAGTTAGAAGAAAACAAGGTACTTACAATTAAGTTGACAATTAATGGAAGTAGCCTTTCAAACCACGGCAGTACCTTCTCCTTGTAACTGCTGAATATTGAGTGCAAAATGTCCGATACTTTAGTCAAAATATAAACGTCACTGTCATCCTGATAGGAAAAGGATACAACTTACATCAAAACTAATAATCTTTCAAATAGCAGAAGTCAAATGAAATGCTAAGGTCTCAATTAACGGAATAAATTTGTGTAATGATTTGGTTTTGTAATACCGATCTTTTAAGTTCACTATTTTTCAATTCTAGGTCTAATCATGGAATGATACAGTCATAGACTAGGCTGGGTTTGAAGGGACCTTGAAAGATCATCTCCAACTTCCATTGTCATAGGCCACTAGACCAGGTTGCCTAAAGCCCCATCCAAACTGGCCTGGAATATTGCCAGTGATGGGGCATAAGTTCTCTAGGTAACCTGTTCCAGTGTCTCACAACCCTCGTTGTAAAAAATGTCCTCCTTACATTCAATCTAAATATACCTTCTTTTAGCTTAAAATTGCTGCCCCTTTTTCTGTCACTACAAGCTGTGGTAAGGGTTTTCTCTACACCTTTCATGTCAGCCCTCTTTATATATTGGAAGGCTGCAATAAAAGTCTCCCCAGAGCCTCCTTTTCTGCAGGCTGAACAACCCCAACACTCTCAGCCTTTCTTCATAGAAGAGGTTTCCGCTGACTATTTTTGTGTCCCTCCTCTGGACCCACTCCAGCAGGTCCATGGCTTGCATGTACTGGGGACCCCAGAGCTGGATGCTTAAGTGGCATCTCACGACAGCAGAGTGGCAGGATCATCTCCCTCGACCTGCTGACCACGCTTCTCTTGATGCAGCCCGGGATGCAATTGGCTTTCTGGGCTGCAAGTGCACATTGTCAGCTCACGTGCAATTTCTCCATTCACCAGTATCCCCAAGTCCTTCTCCACAGGACTGCTCTCAATCTATTAATCACCCACTCTGTACTGATACCGAGGATTGCCCTGACCCAGGTGCAGAACCTTGCACTTGGCCTTGTTGAACTTCATGAGGTTTGCATGGGACCACGTGTTACACCTGTCAAGGTCTCTCTGGGTGCCATCCCTTCTCTCCAATGCATTAACTGCACCACTCAGCGTGGCGTCATCTGCAAACTTGCCGAGGGTGCACTCAATCCAATTACCTATGTTGCTAATAAACATATTAAACAGTACCCGACACAGATCCTGGAGAGACACCCTTTGTTACTGATCTCAGTTTAGAAATGGAGCCACTGAATGCCAACATGGTCATCCAGTCACTTCCTTACCCACCAAATAGCCCATCAGTCAAATCCCTATCTCTCCAAGGTAAAGAAGGGTGTTGTGTGGGACCATGTCAAAGGCCTTACAGAAGTCAAGACAGATTACACCCATAGCTCTTCCTTAATCCATCAACACAGTCACCCCATCCTAGAAGCCATCAGATTAGTCAGGCATGAGTTGCCCTTTGTGAAGCCCTATTGGCTGCTTCTAATCACCTTCTCATCTTCCACGTGTCCTCCACGTGTCCTGACATAGCTTGCATAGCTGTGTCCTGCTGGACACAGAGTGAGACTGACTGGTTGCTAGTTCACAAGGTTCTCATCTCTACCCTTAAAAATGTAAGTCAATTGCTAGTACTGAGTTACCTATAACTTGAAGGTTTTTTTCAGGGACAGAAAAAAAAAAATTCAAGACAAACACTGTCTTATGCTTCAATTTACTGCTTCAATGGATTCCCTTTACAGAAAACAGAAGGCTGCTTTCCTCCTCTGTACTTTATACATACTGTAATAAGTTGTTACTGAAAAAGGAAATCAGTAACTGCTTTTGTAACAGAAGATTGTGTCAAAAATATAAGGAATAATAATCCCCTCCTCTTATCGCTTAATTTTTCCCCTTGTCCAATTAGCACATCAAGATGCTGAAGCAAAGATCCTTAGCTTGGCTTCAGCTATCGATTCATGCAAGTGAGGATTCTTCCCCTGACACACTTGTATTGGAAAAAATCTTGAATTATGTTTTAAAGCAAGTTCTGTTGTGCTCAGTACAGTTCCTTTAATCAATTTAGACTTTTAACAGGCAGCGAAAACAGAATACAGCTAGTTTCTGGTCCCTGGTGAGAAACTATTAAGTATTTCCCATGCAACAAGCAGCTTCCTCCCTAGTTTGACAACTTCTGCTTCGTCAAGGCAGAATTCACACAGTAACTCTGAAAAACACACACCAATGAGAATAGAGGTAGAGAACTGCTGCAGCACACCACAAGATCCACCTGGCCTGGTACTGCCAATTTACTAATAGATGATAACAGATCCTCAGGCGAGAGAGTGTTAACACTTGGTGAATGTCTTCCCCTACCCCCTATCAAAATCAGCAGTTTAGTTATTGCCTGAACTTAGGCTCTATCTGGGCATCTTACCAAAACTACTGTTTGAGTATCTTTAATGATTTCTGTACTCGCTTATCATTCTGGAACTTTGAAGTAAGGGCTGCATCAAGATATTCTGGGACCAAAGGTGTGTATCCAAATGTTACTCGTTACCATGTTAACTGTCCATATGGCAAGTGACATTCTGGTCCCACTCCTACTTTCACAAGGTAATGAAGACAAGTCACCCGTGCAATCTTTAAAAAGAATCAGCAAGGTCAAATATGAATGAAAGCATTTTTAAAAATGCCTTGCAACTCTGTTGCAGACTACAGATTCAGCTTTTCTTAAACTGCTGCTTGCTAGCATTTTCTCTCATTATCAGTAAAGTGACACATAAGAAAAGAAATCAAATTGCCTAACTCACTGTCTACAAGAACAATCAGTAAATACTGCCAATAAGAAAGGGAGAAAAATCCAGAAAGGCTCTTGGCTCAGAACTTGAGTTTTATTATTTTTTGATGCCAAGCAGTATGTAGGCACCAGAAATTTTGAATGCTAGCCTAATGCTCACAAAGGAAAAGGGCTCAAGAACTGCAGTGTTATTTAAGAAAGTATTTGCAAATGGGCACTGATCTGTTAAGACATATTTCGGAGTCTGCACACAAGTTAAACTCATGTAAGCAAATTAAGCAAACTTCACAATTTGCCTTCACAAATTCCGCACCTACATCACATGGCAAAAAGTTTCCTAGTTCTTCAGTTTACTCAGTATCTTTATGTCTCATGTTATAAGCAGCAATGACTTATTATTACTCTCTCCACATCAATAATCATCTAAGAGAACTTTCATATCTCTTCTATAATCACCTCCACTTAAAACTAAAAACCTAGTTTGGTATCTTCACAGGTAAATAATCACTTTTATATTCTCTCTTCAGCAAACGTACGATGTTAGCTCTTCACTCTGCCAACGTCAGTCCTCCAATACCATTTCAGGTCCGTTCTTTTTGAGACAGGCTCCTGACCTGACACAACAGAGGTCTACATACCAAAGTTATGGTCAAGGTTAGGAGTTACCCAGGTAACGAGACACAAAGAAAACACAAGTCAGCAGGGCTAGGCCTTAGATTATCGCTGATAGAGCATTTGACAGCAGATGAAAAGTAATCTAAAAATTGTCAAGAGGATGAAGAAAATTAAGAGCTATATGCTGAACTTAGAATCATAGAATGAATCACAGAATGGCCTAGGCTGGAAGAGACCTTAGAGATCATTTAATCCAACCTCCCTGTCATGGGCAGGGACGCCTCTCAACTAGATCAGGCAACACATGGGGACTGAACAGGAATTGAACGCACGACCTTGGTGTTATCAGCACCACGCTCTAACTGAGTGAGCTAACCGGCCCCCTAACTTCTTCCTTTAGTCTACTGGACAAGGAAACCTTTCATATTTTCTAATTCACACATGTAGCATGACCCATTTTTTACTGGAAGTTTTGAAGGAATGCAGTAACAAAATAGTGTTCCAGGAAGAAATAATTCTGAGGATGCACTATGCTGTAACTGAGTAGCACAGCATATCCGTGTAATGTATTTCCATCCTGGTGCTTTATGAGTGGAAAAACTCCCCAGAAAAACTTACTTCATCTTGTAATGACTCTTCAACTTGTTCATCATAGTCTTCATCTTGTCTTTTCACTAAATTTAAAAACAAATTTTAAACCATTATATTTCTACAAATGAGTAAGAGGTCTGTAAAAAAAGGGAAATGATACACAAAGATTCAGAAAATAGAAAGCAGTAACTGAAGATGCAGCAGGAATTTACTATCTTTAAGAAGCTTCGAAGAGCTTTCACAGAAAAACAAGAAGTGTAATGAGACAGCTCAGTTTAAGAATGTGCAAAAGCACATAAAATAAACATATCAGCTTGTCCACAAGGACAAAAAGTACAGAGAAGAAGCTACCATAAGAAAACTGCAAAGACTACAGATCGAAAAAATCCACAGAAATAACACCACCAGACATGTGCACTGCCTTCAAATAAATCTGTCCATCGACTTGATTTTCTGCAAAAGATGCCATCTTCATGCTCCCAGAGCTTACAAATACAACTCATGGATTCTGTTTCAAAGCCCTGTTACCTTAGATGAATATGCAGATTGAAGAAATCTGAACTAAGCTTTTTTCTCATGTCCAGAAGTTAGGAATTCTGCTTTAAAGAACAGCCATTATCACATGTTAATAGGAATTTGCGTTAACTTACCCTGTCTTAATTCTTGATTTTTAAAGTGCTCTTCTAGTTTTCCTTTCAGTATTCCTCCAAGTTCTTCAAAGTGTTCGTTGTTAAGGCATCCATCTCCCATGACCTCAATGCACTAGTGAAATAACACAATCAGTTTTTCAGCTTTAAGTTAAATGAGTAGTCTTAATGAAATCGAAGCACACAGAGAATATTAATACATGCTCTGCTTTAAGTCACCACTAGCAGAACTAACATTAATAGAACATTCACACTGTAAACAATGTTTAGATTATGTAAGTAAGGCATAGCACCACTGTACAAATCTGGCAATTAAATGAATACTTCCATATTTTGGTTCTTGCACAAAAAGTAAAACTAAGTTTTTCAATCAGCTATAACAACGTCTATAGTCAAACCAAAATTCACACAGAAGCCTGGAATTTCTTCAAGTAATTTCTGCGAACAAACACACGTCCCTTCTTACCATAAAAAGCTATGAGCTGCAGCACCACAAAATTTGGAAAGAAGGAAGTTACCTTTGCAAAAGAATGCATTATTTCTGAGAGAACATCTGAATCTGGTTCTGTCCCAATGGCTTTGATGAGCGCATCACACATGAAGTGCCACATCTGCGTGAGGTACTCTGGCCCGCGAACTCTAGCACATTCGAGAAGGAGGGGCATTGACTCCGCTGCCGCCACTCGAACACGTTGCATTATTAAGGAAATAAACTATTAAAGCCAACGTGAAATGTTTAGAATTTAAGCACCCACCACCATTATGAAATTATTAGTTTTCTAGTTTCTAGCCTGAAATTGATTTTTTTTAATTACAGTGAAGTACATTTGATTTCCTAATTAGATCCAGATTAAGATCACAGGAAAATTCAAGTGTTTGCTCTTCAAAAGTTTTTTCTAAGCCTGTTTCAGACCATGACAGAAAAGCTTTCCAAGTTCTCCTTCACTTTGTTGGTACAAATATCACTTTCTCTACTGTTTGCTTTTGACATTAGAGACATGCTCATTTAAGAAAAGAAACTAGGGGAAAAAGTAGGACATGTTGCCTAAAATAGTGTGTAACACAACATTCTCAGTAACAACTTCTGCTACAAAGCCACACAGTATTTTAACACTAACACTTCTATTCATTTAGGAAAACAGTAAGCAAAACTTGGATCCTTCCAAACTAAGTTTCTATTTTCACAGTAGAATTCATTAACAGGATATCATCATGAAAGTAGAACTTCAACAAAGGAACCATCAGCTTTACAACTTGCTCTGTGTACTCCACAAATCCTTCTTTTAGCTCTTTTGCATAGCAAACCTGAAACACAAAGCATGAAAACATCACTTTTGAGGCAAAATACCGTTCCTAGTATTTTTCAGCTAGGTAAAGGCAAGAAAGATGGTTAGAAGTTTAATTTACTTTAAAAAACATGAAATAATCCACTTACCTATTCCCTGCACTGTCATATTTTAAGAAATCCTGATAGCAGCGTAAGTTCCTACTCTAAGTACATGTGTGCATTTTAAAAAGCACGTTCAGAAACATCCATATTTGCAAGATATGCAAATCTCCGATTCCTTAAAAGGAAAACTATGTGTTCATCTTAAAAACTGAAGCTCCAAACTAAAGAAACTATTTTGAATCAAGTAAGCCACTGTCCCAGTTTCAGCAACAGAGCCAGTTCTGCTCAGTGATTTTACTTTTCAGCTGAGTCTTTTCTAAGAGGCTGCACTTTCTGAAGTTATTAGCATGTCTTTGCAGACAGTGTCTGCTGCTAGAAGTGGTTACTACCAGAAATTGGCATGCAGAAAGGCTCTTGTTTATATTTTCTCCTACAGTAACCACTGCTAAATCTTATCTAAAACGTTGCAGGCAAATAGGCTGAAAGGAAGTGAAGTAAATTTAAGACATTGCGCCTCCAGGGAGGAAGGGACAGGACAGGTGACCCAGACGGACCCAATTATTCCATTCCGTCTACGTTGTATTCAGTACAGATTCGATACATCACAGAGGTGACCTCAGATCTTTAGTCCGAGGAGGGCTCCAGCCATTCTTCTGCCCTCATTCCCAAATCCAGCTCCTGTGTCCCATTCACACCTGCAGCTGAGGCTGGGCCTCCCCCAGTGCCAGCATTAGTGGTGATTGCTACGGGAGCTGGCGGTGGGAGAGCATGTGTCTGTATATGTACTGTAGAGACACTTCATCAGTCCTGCTGGCCACGCTATTTCTGGTCCAGGGCAGGATGCAACCGGCCTTCTTGGCCACCTGGGCACACTGTTGGCTCATCTTCAGAAAGTATATTTTCATCACGTATTTTGGTTACAGATTTTGGCTTCAGAATCAACTGTCCATCAATATACAGAGCACCAAAACGTGTCCTATTACTCACCAGCATTTGGCATGCAGTTGCTTTTTCTTCAAGGCCTGCAGTTTTAATTCCAAAACTTTGCTGATCTCCTAGGTTTACAAATTCCCAACCATCATCATCACTCATATTCTCCATATCTTGTGCTGTTATACAGAGGGGGGGAAAAATAAATGTGTAAGTGCAAAAGAGTAATTTATTTCAGTATTTTTTCCATGCAAAACATTATCTTAAACTTACTGTCTAAAAGAGCTACTTCAGGTTTAATGGATGCAGTCTTCATCAAAGGCCCCATGACAACAGGAAGGTACTGCTGGAATTCCTTTCCAAGAATTTTACACATTCTGGCCCACGCTGAGATCATATAAGAAATCTATAAGAGAAGATAAGAGAGTCAGAATTTTCATGTCCCACATTTTACTTTAATGCATACTTAAAAGAAAAGCATAAAGAACATTACACAATAGGACTTCTTAAAAGAACATGTCAGCAGTGCATAAGACTTATTTCAAAGAGAAGAACTCATCCAATATGCAAGCCATATAAAAATACATCTTAAAAAAGATCTGTCTCAAGTCTTTATATGAAACAAGACGTTGACAGTACCTCTGATTAAAGTTGCTATACTGTCCCATTTTTACATGTATAAGACGTACTTGTAACGCAATCACGACTGTCTTGAAAAGTAAATTTCTTTCAAAAATGAATAATGACCTGAATTAAATGATACTACTAAGACACATTCCTGAAAATAGCAAATAGAATAAAAAAGAGTGCAGTGCTGTTTTCAGAGGAGCATTTGTTTTCAGATTCACAAGTCAAAATAGCTCTCCACTCATTAGAACAGCTGTCTAACAAGTCTTACCGAACTATTTATAAGAAGGTGACGGCAAGGGAACAGGTCATACGTTGCTAAACAAAGTAGTTACTAACAGATATGAACCTATCATCGACGTGCTGAAATTTCTTCAGCAACTCATTCCCTAAACATGGTTTTGTGAAAGATTCTGAGGCCATCTCAGGGCAACCAATCTCAGTTTTTCAAAGAGGTGCTGAACAATTAGTCTGAAGGTGTAATCACACAGCAAGGGGAGGTGGCAGAAACATCACATGTATAAAGAACATTTTTAACACCAACCAATGAGCTATGTGCTATAAAGACACAGAATTGGAACATACCTGTGGATCATCATCTTCTAGATCACTGAAGTCTGTTTGTGTCTTCAATAAAAGCTGCATTACATCTGATGCATCCTGCATAAACTAGATATAGGAAACAACTGCATGTTTTTAAAGGCAAATTAAAAGGGTACTTTTCAGAGACTTAACACCAAACAATTTCAGAGAGCATTTAAGTCCAACATGCTATCAAGACAAAAGCTAAAGCTGGAAATAGACCGAAATGGGGATAAAAATGAAAGCAAGTTCTTTTCCTGGAAGCATCACCACACCATTCTCATCTTGAAGCTTCACTCTATCTCTGTTCATACATGTGAAAGGAGAGGACTGTTTAAATAAACCACTATATTAATAAATACTAATAAAAAAAATCTGACAATTCTAACTTCCCAAGATACCTTTCTTGCTATTTTGACTCCTTTACAGACCTGAGACAAAAGCTGGCAGCATGAGCTACTTATTCATGAGCTAGTAACATTTTAGGTCACAGCAGATGCCCCAATGTTGTTACACCTAATCTCTTTTCTCTCCTCTTGTTCCCAGTAGTCCTCCAAGAATAATTTATTTGGTACATTTAAAATAAAATCCGTTTAAAAATTAGCTGCATGAATGGTTAAGTTTATAGGTTTCTAAGTCAAAGGAAAGGGCTGGTAATTTTGCTGGGGCTATCAGTATTTGAAATGTGACTTTCTGCTTTCTTCACTCAAAAAAACGAAAAGCCATAAACAATAACGCAAACTTGCTATCAGAACATCACTTAGATTCTTATGTAGTCCTTCACAGTTGTTTCTTGGCCCTTTTACAGAGACACATTTTAACCAATTTATAAGAAAAACAAATAAACCAGCACCAACAAAAAAAACTCAAAAAATCCAACACCAGAAACAACCCTACTAAATACATCAAGTCTCATGACAAGTAAATACTTCCAATTCTATTTACAAGCACACTTGAACTTTTTCAGGCATCTGCATACAACAACTATGCTAAGCTTCCTTTGAACTACATATATTTTACCTGCCATTCTGACATTGCCTAAATGAGATGCTCCCATATGTCTCTTAAGGCAAAATAAAAATCCAAGCAAAGCAAAAAATGTCCCTTTCAATGTTGCTCAGTGTGACAAGAATAACTTAAGCTGCATTATTTTCATGAGATTCTGTGACTTTGTGAATCTAGACAGCAAGACAGTCACCTCAGAAATGAAAACAGGAATCAGCAACAACATAGCTATATGCTTAATAAGTGAATATATTAATTTAATGTTAGTAACACAAAAAATAAAGGCATTTTGAAGTATATTTAGACCATCAGGTAAGATCTAAGCTTACCTTTTCTTTGCCAACAGCAAGACCAATTAGGCTGATGCATTCAATAGTCTTTCCTCGTAAAAGTCTTAGTTCCTTCTGAACAGCATTCTCAACAATGTGTTTTAAAGAGGGCATAAATAAATCATAGTAGGGAACAAACTTCTCCTCTGCTGTATCTGCAACCGATGCAATTGAAGTCACAACTTGCTCCAAAACTAGCTTAGTGCCTTTCTGTATCAACTTGGAAAGAGGAAGAATATAAGTGTTATATTTCTAAAGCACATATTTTACTTTAAAAGCATGCCAAATGTCAAAATCTGCTCTTGTACGTATCATCATTCTTGTCAGTCTAGACTAGCATCAGCAGGTAAGTATACTGGTCTATTTCAGAGGTCTTAGTTCAGCTCTACTTATTCTGCATGTGACAAGGTTACCTTCCATGAAACAATTTGTTCAGTATATTGTACCTCTTGCAATTTTATCACCATAGTGGAATGAAGATGCTTCACTAGATTATCCAAATATGGAATAAGCAGTGACTTGGGACAATCTTCAGTGAAGTTTATGAGTGCTGCAGCTGCATGGGCTTGAACACGCTGGTTGCCTTGATCCTCCATGGTCTGCAGAAGAGCTGCTATCACCTGAAAAAAAAAAAAAAAAAGATTATTTTCAGAACAAGTTTCTAAAGGAGACATAGTTTACCACTGAATTATTTTTTTTTTTGCTTTTTTACTACTTGCCTTTTCATGAAATTTCTTTTGAAAACCAGGTGCAAAGTCAGCTGCCATTTGTCCGATAGCATTACAAGCGGCGTATCTTACTCTTGGATGCTGAAAAAGTATTTCCTCAAATAGTTAACAAGCAGTCATTGCAGCAGAAACAAAGACACTCTGAAATATTTAACAGAATTATACTCACAGGATCCTGAAGGAATAGCAAAACAAAATTAACTATCTCATTTAAAATTCCCTCCATCTGCTGGTGGCAACCTTCTCCAATGGCTGACAGAGCCATCAAGCCAGCATGCCTGTATTTCCAGTCAGCTACAGAAGGATAAAAAATGAAAACAAATTATTAATTTTGGTAACTAAAGAGCACAACAAAGACAAGCTACCTTTTGGCGGAGAGCAGGAAGAGGAAGAAGAGTAAAGAATAGAAGAGGGAAGGGGAATTGATGCATCTACCTGATTTGTGAAATACTTTCCACTCTTCCTCATACATACTTCCAGAGATGCACAAAAATTTGAATAACTAATCCAGGCCAAATCCAGACCTTGAAAAAAGGATTCTTAACTGCTGATATAAGTATGTACATGGTACCAACACCTGGGAACTGCATTTTAATTGAATGAGTTAACCAGGAAAGCATCCTCTCCCCCATTTTTATTTTTTCAATGGTATCAAAACAGTCTATACTCTCCCCTTTAGTTCAAGAGGGCAAAAGGTCTAGTGAATCAAACTGTATTCAAATTTAAAAAAAAAAAAATAATCAGTGCTAAACTTTGCAGTGGTCTCCTCAAGACTGCTTAAGAACAGTTAACACTCCATTCAGGGATGTAAGGCTTTCCCTGTCTCCAGGTCCTGCTAGCCTTATTCACAAGCTAGTGTGTATTCTTCAAATGGATCTTTCACATCCTTTTCCTTTTTCTTTAGGCAAGGGAAATGTTAGAAACTCCCATTTCTTGTATTTTCTTTTTTTTTTTATAGAATCTTTTTCTGTGCTAGAAACCACAGGGATTACAGAAAAGAAAACCAGGATGACAAACAACCTATGGGAAAAGCATGTAACAAAATCTCTTTCCCAAAGTAATGCAAGATTTCATTACTTTGGGTAATGTATTAAACTCCTGGAATGAAGATCACCATAGCTCAGAGCACTGGAATCCTGACACCCAAACTTCTCTTTGATCAGGATGAGGTGAAATACCATCTTGAGGGAAGGTACAGTAAAGGAGGAGTTTATTTTGCACTGTTTAAGTTAGCTGGATGTTCCTAGTTAAGCCTACTCCTCTTACTACTCTCACTACACTACTGTTAGCATACATTCCAGACTGGAAATTAGTGATGCTACTAAATAAAGCAAAATCATCTTTGGACCATCTGGCTACCCAATCCAAACCCAGAAGTTTTAAGTTATGATTTCAGTAAACATATGTACAAAAAACAGCGGGGACAGGAGAAGGGAAAGGTTGACTTCTGAGAGTACTGATGATGTTTAAATCTAAATGTCTTCATTTTCCCTCCCAACCTCTCTCCCGGTAAGAGCCTCTGAACCAAACAATATACATTGCATTTCCCTTTTCCCAAGAGGACAAATGGTTATGGAAAGCTCTGACCCAGCAGAAAGAAAACATCACAGAATGCTTTCAGGCATCAACTGCATGATTCCTCTCCCTCACAGGAGTCAGGTCTTTCAGTCATTAGTCCCCACAGCTTTCTGCGGGTACTACAAAAAGCATTTGCTCGCCTTGAAGCTCTTAACACTGGAAGAGTCAGGTTAATCCATTTCCTTAATAAAACTTCATTTACAAAAATACTTAATTCCAAAAGCCTTTATAAGTGTTCACACTCTGCAAGTGGTACCTTGAGTAGTTTTATGTTCCATATCTAATTTGGTAACAGTTTTTCTTGGACTGGGTTTTAAAATATGAAGGTAGGAAAAATTACCCAGAACTTTTGCATCATCTTCAACTTTGAAGGCTCAAAGCACAGGTCAAGTGAAAGTGCAACAAAACGCACAATATTTTTTTGAATGATTGCCTCAGCAAGCATTACAAGTATTTTAAGAAGAAAAGAGGCATACAAAGCAGCTGATAAGAATACATGGAACCACGTCATGAAACATATTAAAATCAGCATACCAAAACACAAATTTAAGGTACTGAGGCACTGTATAGACAACCAGAGACAATATTCTAAAGTAAAAAAAAGTCTTCCCTTATCTATATTTATTTCACAAACCGTGAGTTTCAAAAAATGTACTGTTTTGTTTTTGACATCTCTGTTAGCTGTCCACGTTCTACAAAAATGCTGTAGTTTACTGTACGTAAGTTTGCTAAATCATAGCCTAACAAAAAGTATAAACTTCCAAGTTCACAGCATTTACAGTTTTTGCTGAAGAAACTGAAAGTGGAAAAGTACAATAACATATCGAGTAGCTAAGTATGAAGATTTAAGAGGTATCAAAGTTTCTGGAAAGGACAGAATTGTAAAAAAAAGAAAAAAAAAGAAAATGCAGTTACTTACGATTCTGAAGCATTTGCATAATGTTTTCTTTAATCACAGGTAGTACCAGTTTTCCTCCTAGGCCACATGCCATTCTGTCTAGTGCGCTTTCTCCAGCAACTGCATTGCTAAAGATCAGTTACAGAAAGATCAGTGATTTGACAGCTGGAATAAAACAGTCCAAAAGGACACAGAAATGCCCTTTCCTGCAGTTCTAGTCTTCAAAGATTTGCCATCTGAATACACAAGCCTCCATTAAGTCAAAAAAGTATACCCAAACCTAAAAGCACCCGCATCAGTCACAAAATAATTATTTACTCTCCACTCAAACATTTATTACCTGTAGCCCATTGATCAAGTCTAGCACCAAAGAAACTTGGGCCTTACTAGCACTGAAGGTAGAGACTGAATTTCACAATAATTGCACATACCTAGAAAGCCGAAACTAAGCTTGCAATGAATTAAGCAATAATTTTGGTCATCATCTTTTTGGCCCTGATTTTGGACCTGCTATGAATGAGGTGAGCCAGCAGAACTCCAGCTTTGGCACACAAGAGACTTTTCTTGCGTGGCTGCAGTACTCTAGTAGCATGTTCTCTTGCCAATGACTCAGGCAGAAAACATCCCATCTAGGTGAGGAATCTGTGACTCAGTCAGTTCAAGAACTGAGAATAGCCAAGTATTATCTGTGTAAAGTCAATTCTTCCACCCAATAGAATTATTCCCTACAGAAAAGCAAGAAAGTTTCCAGAACACAGAAACTTACTGTTACAGTCAAGGTTGTTACTACAGTCCATCCTAAACACCTCCCTGCCCTTGGAAAAGCTCAGCAAAGCTGAGCCCTTGGAAAAGTTCAGCAAAGGATGAAGCTCCCTCTTCTCTTAAGTATCAGTCAGCTGGGACAGAAATGTAGGTCTTCAAACCTTTATGGCTATATCCCCAAGACTCATTACAAACCATAAACAGCCTAGAAACTCAGATGCTGTGAACAAAGGTGTTTGCACAGACACTGACAACCATGTACTTGTTCCTCAGACTACTCATGTTCAACTAAACAGACACATCACCAGCAGCACAGAGCACAGGCACACAGGTTTAGATTGGTGCAAACTTGCTAAGCTCATGGCAGTTTTTGTCTGGTATTATATTCTTTGAGCTCTTTCCTTGCGCCATTAATTCATAATTCAGTTTGAGGAAATAAAGATAAGCCTATCTTAGGAAAATGAACACACGCTGTCTGCAACATCTGCAAAGCTTTCGCCAGGAAAAGAGGAAGCTGGATTAACCTTTTCCTCCTTTAGAATTTCACTGCTCTCTGAAGTCAGAGCAACAAAAACCTGGAAATGCGAAAATATTCCCTGCTGCTTTTGTGTGGGCTGACTCACATCCCCCTTAGTCAGATCCAAACACACCCTAACTAGGCTACAGCCTGTTGGCCATTAGCCTGCTTCTTGGACTGCACAGAAATTCCCATCTTCTCATGAAACTACAAAGACTCGAGCACCAGAAGAGGTTAATACATACATCAGCTAATCAACAACTCCACACAAAGACGAACTTCAGTGATGGGAAACACGTGGTAAGACGACACACACACACAAGCGCCAGAGACAGCTGATGCCCAGCGTTCTGTGTCTAACTCAAGCTCTCCCTTTATTTTGAGGGTCAAAGGCGCTACCTTTCTCCTTCGGGCTAAGGTTGCCGAGCACAACTTGTTTTCTGATCTTTGCCAACTCTATTTGCAACTTGCAACAAAAAAAAAAGGAAAAGTCACTCTAAAATCAAGAGGCAACTAACATGTTTAGAAGAACAAAGTTACTCTGCTGACAATGAAGAGAAATTGGCATGCCTCAAGTGGATGATTCAGCATACTTACTAAGCTGTCTAAAAGCAGGCCATCTGAATAAATTTCCATGCCCTGAAAGGCTGGATGAGCATTTGAACTTTAATATCTTACTTCCCCTCGCAATTAAGCTGAATGAAAAGATTAAAAAACTTGACAACCCAGAATGCAGGGGTGTCTGACAGTTCTACCTGTATGACAAAATCTGAAAGTATCTGAAAGAAAAAATTAAAAGGGTCTGGTCTACCATGTGAGAGAGGAAATAAAGGACAGCTTACTTTCAATTGCACAATCAAAGGGAACAAAAAGAGTTTTCCAAGTCAAGCAGAGATTAAACAGGTTATTCCATAAATTCCTACACATCAATTTTGCAAGTGTCTTTACATGCCTGACACCTAGTAGAAATATGCCCTGGTTTCAGCTGGATCAGAACTAATTCTGCTCAGTGATTTTACTTTTCAGCTCAGTCTCCTCTAAGAAACAGCACTTTCTCAAGTTAGCTGCATGTTTTTGCAGACAGTGTCTGCTTCTAGAAGTGAAAACACTTGACATTTATACTTACTACCAAGGATTGGTATGCAGAAAGGCACTTGCTTATACTTGCTCCTGTAGTGACCAAGGTCACTGCTGGATCTTATGTAACACTTTGGGGATGCCAGGAATTAAAAGGGGTTACAAGGAAGGAAAAGGCTGCACCTCTGGGTAGGAATGGACAGGACAGTTGACCAACAAAGTATTCCATTCCATATACATCATATTCATTATAAAGCTGAGGGATCACAGGGGTTAAGCCCTCTTCTTGAATGGCTGGCATCCAAGAAGGACTCCATCCATTCTTCTGTCTTTGACCCTGATCCTGAGGTCCCCTCCTGTATCCAGTTCCCCTCGGCCACTGAGCCTGGGGCTTCCCCAGTGCCACCTGCTCTGCAGCATCAGGAGAGACAGGGCAGGGAGTGGGGAGTCAGGTTTGATATTGTTTTGTATATATTTGTATGTAACTCAGTATTTTCATTGTTTCCTCATTAGTACTATTGGTTTACCAAAACTATTTTAGTTTTCTTTTCCAATCCATAAGTCTCTGACTTTTTCCTTTTTTCCCTTCCCCTTTGAAGAGGGAAAGGTGTTAGAGAGCATCTGTCAGAGAGCATCTGTCAGCATTTGGTGGCTGGCTCAGCCCCAGTCCTTGACAAAGTCACTATTCAGTTCAGTGGTAAATCAACATCTCTTCTGTTACCCTTCTTCCTATGAAGATTTCAAAGTGTTCTGTTACAAGCAGTTTCAAAACACTAATTACATCTAACTCTTGAATAAGATGCCAAATGTGGCAAAACCAGCATGTAGACTGGTAAACGAACATCCATGTCTTTGCAGAAGTGAGGATATAGTTATATCTTACATGTATTTCTTTCTTCTACTTCGTTCTAACTCTATTTGGACACGAGCAGATATGACAGGATGCTGTAGACAAACCAGTGTCATTTTAGCAAGAAGCTGGAGCAAGCTACAAAGCACATAAAGACTGGACAGATCTTTCTTACCTAGAACACAACACGATAAGCTACTGCTAGCCATACTAAGGGATTTAAAATAGCAATATTATAATTTTTCTGAGTTAGGTGAAATTCAGCAAGGAATTCCATTATGGATTCTGACATCCTTTCAAAGGTAGGCAGTTTTTTTCCTTAACATTGTATTTTTCTGTATCTATGCCCTTGAAAAGATAGCAAAATTATAATATTTCTGAGCTAGGTGAAATTCAGCAAGCAATTCCATTACGGATTCTGACATCCTTTCAAAGGTGGGCAGCTTTTTTCCTTAACATCGCCTTTTCAAGGGCATAGATACAGAAAAATACAAAGAGATTGGCTGCAGATTAAACAGGTCAGCATCCTTCAGCTTTGGTTCCAGATAACTTCAGGGACCACTTGGAAGAGTTATGAAGCACTGACTTCTGAACTGTCATATAAATGACAGAAGAAAGAAAAGTTGGGAAATTAAAATAGTGAAAACAGCAGACAAAAGGAAGTAAATTACAGCAATACACGAATATTGAAAGAATATACTTACTTGCTGAACAGTAGCTAAATAACCTACATACAGACTTTCTGGGAACAGCCACACATACTGCTCGTGGCCAATGATCAACTCATTAGATAAGTTACTTAAGCAAAGAAAAAAGTAATGCACTGCGGTCATTTGCATCCTGCACTTAAAATCTGCCTTTAGCCATACAGTCTTGATAATATACTGAAACAAGTAGTTTCACAATTACCTGTCGAAATCATCACCTTCGAGCTCGTCTGCATTTGCCCAATCTTCATCTTCTTCTAAGTCCACCATCATTGATAACATCTGGGGAACTGAAAAAAATAAGTTTTAAACCCAAGTTGGTTTTTTTATAGACTCTCAAACAACAAGCATAAATTTCAAGTTCTCTCCTTTCATATCACTAAGGAAAAATAACTCTTCTTCCAGTAGCAGATAGCCAAGTGTCAAACTGTGCCAGCCAATAGTTGAGAATAGATTGAGTAAAGTATTTTGCAGAACATTTGAACTGAGACTAAAAAGAAGTTAAGTGTATTTCTTTACAAGATTCATAATGCAATGCAAGATTTTTTTTTTAAAACAAGGATTGTAAAAAAAAAATTCCTTAAAGTCCAAGTTCCTTAAAAGTTAAAAATAGCATGATTTAAGAACTCAGATATACTTCATTCATTTTGCTGAAACTCTGACATCATGCTTGGAACATTAACTGATGAAGGGGACTATATTAATTATGGAAGAGTAATACTCAACCCTTAGTTCTACTAACATGATAATTTTTGTGAACTCTGCACGGTGGTCACTTAGCATAAAACTTTACTTCACAATAATGTAAGGGTTTAAGACTTGAGCTTTTTCCCCACTTAATGTAAATTTTTGCTTTGTGTCATGAAAATACCTTGCACTTAATAAACCACCAGATCTTCCACTTCTACCTCTGTAGATTGATTGTCTGCTCTTCTCAATATAAGTCTTTATAGAGACTATTATACAATCTTTATCATAACATTCAGCTACTATGCAATAAGCAACAGCTGTTCTTCTGAGTTGTTCTCACAAGAGGAAGGAATGATCTATTGCAAGCCTCCCTGTTCCTGTGCACTTCAGAAGCCCAAGGATTGAAAAGCACACCTTGCATCTTCAGAGCAAAGTAAGGTGCTCTTAAATATTCTGTACTTTGTACTACACTAGCCACTCAGAACAGTTATTTGAATTCAACATCATTTATGTAAAAAAAGCCCTGGAACCAAAAATTTTCAGTCAAATACTCAACCTTTGAGCTTTAATAACCTTTTAAGCCAGTCTACTAAACACCTTAAAGACAGACATCGTAGTTAACTGTGCTCTACAGTAACCTACCTCGAAAACTAGTACATGCTGCTGCTGGGACCGCAACCAAGCAGATACACTGCAACTGGTGAGCTTCATAATATACTTACACTACTGTAACCTATGACAGAGGCACAAGCCCAAGCAAACTCACCTCAGCATACATCTGGATTGATAAGAAACTCCTGGTCAACTGATAACAGAGGAAAATATTGCTCGTTGAGAGCATCGTGGGGCAAATACCAAACAAAAGATCAAATCACAAATTGATTTGCTTGATGTGGCTGTGTATATTCAGCCAGAGTTATACCATGGCTGCAAAAATATTCAGAGAGCTTTTAAATCCCTATCAACATAACTTAAAGGACTTTCTAGCATGATGCCTGCATGTCAGAATTGCATATACTTGCAAGTCACTGAAAAGAATTTCCTCCAAAAGCTTTCAGACACAAGCACTCATAAGCACACACATGAAAATGATTTATCGTCAAGCCTCAGAAGTATGGAAGTCAACCATGACTTGCCGCAAGTACGAGGAGGTTCCAAAAATTCATGTCAGTGTGTTCATTGCTACTCAGTAAGGCTGAGAACAAACCAACATCCAAAGCTCTCTGGCCATCATTATACCCAGAACCTGCAAAAGCTTGTAAGCATGCTAGTTCTTCTTGTTGTTTAATACCAATGTGGTTGCCACTATGTATAGTTTCACAAAGAAGGTCTTTTTTTGAAATGTAGAGTTCTGCATTAGTTTCAACATTGTCCCAACAAATCCTCAAAATTTAATTACTGCCAATATATATACTGTTTACAAACAAGTTAAGGATCATAGTATGCCATAACTCTCCCTTTTCTGAGACTGAACAAAGCTACATCATTATATCCAGAACCTGCAAAAGCTTGCAAGCATACTGGTTCTTCTTGTTGTTTAATACCAATATGGTTGCCAGTATGTATAGTTTCACAAAGAAGTTTTTTTTTTTAAATGTAGAGTTCTGCATTAGTTTCAACACTGTCCCAACAAATCCTCCAAATTTAATTACTGCCAATATATAGACTGTTTACAAACAAGTTAAGGATCATAGTATGCCATAACTCTCCCTTTTCTGAGACTGAACAAAGCTACAGCCAAAGGCAGGCTGCGGGGAAAGTCTAATTTCTAAGGAAGGCGTAATAAAACACTTTGCTATCTCAAATACTGAGCTCAAGGAATTTCTAGGCAGGTAACTGATACACAGGACATAGACTTACTCATAAATGAGCATCATGTTGAGTAAAATCAGCATAGTTGAACGAAAACAGAAAGCCTTTTAAACTAAGGCACAAAACCAAGACAAAAGCAATCCCATTTGGCAAGCTTTTTATCATTCTCTGACCGTAACTGCTTTTCAAGATTTGCAAAATAAATGTCTTTCACCTCAGTAACGCATTAATAATAAAAACAATTTTACAATGGGTTGCAAACCAAAGGCATTTCATTCCCACATGGTGCCTTATCTTAATACAACTATTTCCTTTCTAAACAGGAACTAGTAATGCAATGCACAAGTAACACATTCTAAAGAGATACGAGATACATCACTACGCTGCCTGACCAGGTAAGAAGCTTGTAATGATTTGGAGGACAGCAAATGTCAACTGTCAATATTCCCAGCAAACTATAGGACAGAGTGAAAACAACAGCATTCTAAACATTTTCAAATTTCAAAATATATTCTAAAAGAGTCCCTTCTTTAAAAAACACAAACCACTATTCTACACATAAACAAAACTTCTAGTCCATAGCTTAAGCACTTAAGCCAAATAAATCCAGGTTACAACATTTTCCAGAAGTTTTATAATTATTTTAGTGATGTATATACATGCAAACTTCCCCAACCAAGCACGTAAGTAAAAAAAGTTGCCTTTTAAGAGATTGCGTTTTTGCAAGTTTTGGAAAACAAACAAGAATCTAGACAAACACAAATGAGACAGGGAGCAAAAAGAATCCTTCCAAAAAACAGGCCACAATGCCATGTCAGTGCCCTGATCTACTCCATAAAAAGAGTGTAAAAAGCAAAGAAATACGGTGCGTACAGCGTTGCCGCTGGTCCTGTCCAGAAGACAGTTACTTTTTAGTATCTCAATAAATGATGCATGATTTAAAAATTAGTGCCTCTTTGAAGAACTTACAATCCACATGTTAAAAAGACTAATTACACTACCTCTAATTATTTAGATAAGCATCTAATTTTTAATTTGCAGCTTTAACTCAAAACTGAAGCTCAATATGCATGCTGAATTCCTTCAGTCATCTGCACCACAGAGTATCTGGTCTATATACCAAGCCTCAAACCTAGAACTTCAGAATGCACTGGCTTTTTTATTTTTTTTAAACAGTACAAACTTCCAAAGCCAGCAGAAAAGCATGAAAGTAGTATTTTCCTAGGAAACACCTAATGAAGAGTCACCGTATTTTTATTCAAATTGTTGGTGGCTGCATAAGCAGAGATTAATTTATGAAGAGTCATATTAAGAAGGGATTTTCTCCATAAGAATACTCAATTCAGCGTCACCTAAAATTACCAGCATCAGCAAACTCTGAGTTAGAAATGGTTTTGCCATTGATCACCTGGAAAGTCAGTTTAATACTGTTAAGATAGACAAATGGTTTTAACAAGGAAAACAAGTCAAATACTTACTGGCTTGGGCAACGATGCTTGTATGCCTCCTCAGCATCGCAGCGGCGGTTTCTGACAGCGTTACAATTACTTCGAGTGCCAGCTGACGTTGCATGTTACTCAGGCTGGCATCTGCACACAACTACAATCCAGAAGATTAGAGTAAATCATTAGAGCATAAGTTTGGGGGTAGAAAGAGTGATTTTTTTAAAAATAATTCCTAGCTTTACCTTTAGACTTAGTTGCAATGTTGGTTCTAAATGCGGTCGTAAATATTTAGGAACAGAATCTGCAATTTCTACAAGGGATTTCAGGACAGAATCGTCGTTTTGGTAGCAGGAATCATTTACAGCCTATAACGAGATAAAATGAAGATAAGATTAAATAAAAACAAATAACACTGTAAATGGGACCACTGTTACAGAAGAAATTCAATTATCTGTATTCTTGTGTCTGAATAGTCTCATTCAGAATTAGTGGCTTAGCATTAGTAGCTAAAATAGTTGAAGCCTTGGTCCCCCAGAACTGACAGAGTAAACTTTCTGATAAAACTAATGCTGCCAACAAAGAACTAGCTGAATCTGTGGAACGAAGAAGATAAGGACCAAGAAGACAATTTCAAAAGAATGAAGTAACTTAAGAAGGCAAGCCCAACAACAGTCAAAAAACAGTAAGAAATCAAGAGACCACCAACAAGAATTAAGTGATCAGAGTTGGACTCAGGTAGTATGGATATAACTGAGAGGCATGAACTGGGTAAGGATTCCTTCTCCAGAGGCATCCAGCTCAAGCTGTAACCTAAGAACTAATAAAAGACTAACTGGAAGCCTTCACTCACACTCAGCATTTTCAGTGGGATCCTAGGGTTGGACCCTGCTAGGGTGGCTGGCACGTGTAAATCCGTAACAACTACAAAGGGTCGAAAACTACAAGCAAGTTATGACTCACCGTGTTGTATGCCATCAGTTTTGGCCACTATTAGTTTAAATCTAATGAAGCAGACAGACACTCAGAAAGAATTAATGTCATCCATCAGAGGCACCGACATGCAAAAATATGCTATGTTTTGACAAACACAACTTCAAAATCCATTTTATATAAACAAAGTAACTCTGCCCAAAAGAAGGAAAATGAGCTTAACTCCCTTTTTCCCTGTTATGTGAAAAGAGCTTTGAATAGCCTGCATTTACAAACACCAGGAATCTGGAGATTAAATAATTTATTTTTTTCCAGACAACTCTGGAGAGCCACAAAACTAAAGCAGACCTTTCAGTCTTCAGTCATGGAACACAGGAAAGCAAAATAAAGCTTTTTGCAAGTATCTTCCCTAATCCAAAGCCACACTCTGAAAAGTAATTTAAAACTTACTTTTAACTGATCAGGTTGATACTCTAGTACCAAAACAGCACAGTTATTCAATGGTGTTAAACCTCTTCTAGAAGTAGGACATGAAAACCCAAACCTCCAAAGAAAAAACAGTCTTTAAACACACTTTTGGAGTTTTGAAAGGAATTTTTATTAGCAAAGTATCCAGTGTCTTCCTAACATTGAAACATTTTTTTTTAAATTGAACAGTTTGGGGTTTTTCAATAAATTCTTTTCTGAAGAAAGAAGTTCGAAGTGCACTGGGCCCCAAAGGGCAGAGGCGCTTTTCTGTACTAGCAAAGAGCAACAATCACAGAAGTCAGTCAAAGTTACAGCTGCTTTTACCTCCACTGAAAGATAAATTCCTTGGACACAAGTTTCAACTATTAGTTTTGAAAGTTCAACTTCCAACATAACCATTATAGATAGTGTACTAAAAGGACTGAATTGCCGAGTCAGAATTTTATTTTTAGCTTTTCTACCACACAATACTTCAACAAAATGAACTGCAACAGCAACAAAAAAAGCATCCGACTGTCTCCAAAGGTCACTCACAACTATTCTAACACATCCCATCTCCTATTTATAAACTCAGATCTTCATATCCATCTTGTGTTACCACATCCAGAAAATCTAGTCCTTCTCACAATAAGTACTTTAAAAAGACAGATTTCAAAGCATACTTCTGTGTTCTGGATTTGCAAAATAAAGCTCTAAAATGCAAGCCAAGTGCATGTGTTTCTACAGTCTAAAATAGGCACACTGAAACTTATATCACACAAAGTGGTCTGAAGTCTAAAAACAGCACACTATTTAATTGCCAAAGATGAAGACGAGTGACATGCCTACCCCAAATCCTGACTCGCTCCCGCTCAAACAATCCTCAGTAGCCAAGCTCCTCTCAGTCAGTTACAATTTTTGAACAATGCAATTGTTACTGCCAAAGTCACAGATAGGGACTAACCATCAAATAGTGACCTCAATATCGAAATATTTACCTTGTGCACACTACAGACCATTTTCAAGTTCAGCTGATTTTAATAAATTCTTCTCAGTTTCCATTTACAATCAATCAGAATTCCATTGGTCAAAGAAGCCAGTAAACTTAGCACATTTTTCTTCAGCTTGACACCAAGCACACACAGAGAAAGGTTTATGACCTACACTCTCATCAGGAACTTGATGCACTGACTGTAGCAAGAAGTCAGTCTTTAACCTAAATTTAGGCTAATTTAAAGTTTCCAAAAAGTTCACCACCCCTCTTATCTCACGTACTTAGTTATTTTCCCTTTTTCTTAACATAGAAAGGGAACTGTACTGTGAAATTATCGTACTTCAGGGCTCAAACCATTTCTGCCTCTGCTTTGGGTGACAATAGGTTTCCCCCGAAAAGTGAACAGCCTTATACTAGAATTCCAACTTTTGCTCCAATTCAGCCATCCTAAAAAGAGATCTAATCCAGCCTCAGAAATTATATGAAGGCATTTTGTTTGCAGTAACACTGTATAAATTTACCAGCACTGAACTATTTTCCTTAAAGCCCTTTCACTTTAGTTTGAGTTTACAAGATTCCTTATCAGCTTCCACTCTAGCTTGCTGGTGACCTGTCAGACTAAGATATAGTTAATCCAGGTCTCAGTAAAAATTCATATGCTGCACAGATTTGCAGGGCAATAATTTATGTTTGGATATAGTCAATACAGACAGCAATGGCACAGTAAGTGCTACTTGTGTGGCTTCTTACCTGCAAGATTCCAGGTAGCAAGTCTGCAAAATGCTTAAGAAGGGGAAGATTGTGCTCATTAGCAAGCACAAACGCAGCAGCAGCTCTAGCAGACAGAGTCTTGATCTAGAAGACAGACAAGATTGGAGACAGAAACGTGAAGAACTGGTAGGGAAACATGCCTTTGTTTTCTTTCACCATTAGACCTATTATGAGATTACATTTTGTATTACTATTCCCTTTCCTAATAGATACAGCAATTAGCTTTTAACATGAGATTTCACAACTTACTTCAATTAAGGTAAAGTGATAATGAAGATCTTCAGCATCTATGTCCTCCATATTCCAAAAAAAAGTTTATCCCCTTATGAGGTTGCAAGTATTCCCTAGTTTTGTTTTTGTTTTGTGTTTTGTTTTTGTGTTTTGAGTTCTGGTTGTTTGTTTGGTTTGTGAGGGTTTTTTTCAATATATATTTTGGTTTGGTTTGTTTTTTTATAAAAGAAATAAGAAAAAAACCCTATTGTTTTCAACTTCAACCCCAATTTCAAATGCATCTGTAAGTGTTAAAGTCTCATTTTTCAAGAAGTGTGATCTAAGTGTTTGAAACATGCTTCTTTAAAGGCATGACTTGTGGTACTTTAGAAAATGTTACCCAGTTGACTTTCAAAGGTCAGAAAAAGTAATCCATGGGGGAGCGGCAAGCTGAACCCATATACCACAGCAGGGTTTCCTATCCTTGCCCAGCATTTTCCACAACAATAGAAACTTTTTCAAAGCACAATTCTCTGCACGAATCAATAATCTGAAGCCTTCCAGAAAAGCAAGGCTTGCTAACGTGCCATTACAGCAAAGCATGCACAAACAGTTCAAGGAGCTGCCAGACATTCAGATTTTTGAGACGCAGTGTGTACAGATACCACACAGATATGTTAAACACGGGGGCCAGAAAGAGAGCTTAACAAGGAGGTTCTGGTCCTTCATGCTGCTGGCTAAAACCCCTGGCTATGCTTTGGGCCACTACAACCAGGTTTCTCCAAGCAGAGCTACCATGGAAGAGTCCCAGTCAAAGCAGGGTAGGTTCTAAGCCAGCCAGTTGGTTTTAAAACTACAAAAAAGTCCAACCCTTTTGATTTGTAGGAGGTATAGCCAAAACTCCAGATGCACATCAGTTTCAAGTAATGTAATTTTCTGGTTGGAATCTATGGTTTAACCTTTATGTTTGAGACTACTATCTTAAGTTTCTATGCTCAAGACATATTAAAAACAAAAAACAAAACAAAAAACCCCAACCATAAAGGTCTTACTGATGGATGCTCTTGGTCTTGCATACACTGAACCAGCATTCTCTTAATGACCTCCAAATAATGCTGCTGTTGATTTCCAAAAATTCCAGGAAAATTCCTAAGACAAGACCAAAACATTAATTAAAATAATAGTTGAGGTTAAACTGTTCAAATTTTTAACTTAAGCTATTTAAACTATTACAGATTGTAACTGCAAATGTAAGAGTTAAACCACAACACAACAGAATAACTATATATAACTGCTTGTTAATGAAGTCGGACAGTTTTTATTAAGTTTTTTACAGATGTGCTTCGTTAACCTGCAAAAACATAACAAAGTCTGAAAACTTACCAGAAAATATGAAGAGCAGCCTCACGGAGTCCCACATTCTGAGAGTTGACAGAGTCAAATAAGAATTTCAGAACTTCTGGCCACTGGTTGTTGCCATCTTCATCTAGAATAAACACAATAAAGTTATAGAATTAGCTAACTTGGAAGAGTGGGAAGATCTCAATTGTGCAGGGCAACCAGTCATCACTACTACAATTAATTTAAAAAAATTGATCTGAAGACGTGTCTAAGTCACAGTGTAAACTATGGCTGAAATGTTAAATCTAAAGGCACTCAGGAAAAGATGATGTCTGTCTACTGTTATACATCAGCACTCAAAAAAATACTTGATGCACATACATGTTCAGCAACACATGCATGAGAATTTACAAAAACTGGATTCTTAACCTTAATATAATGTCACATAAACTCATGCAATTCAAAAAGCAGAGTTAAGGAATCTTATTTTTATCTGATCACGGATACTGTAAAGCAATATTAAGTTTTATTTTAAACCATTAAATCTGTTAGTACATCACTTGCAAATGATGTACTGCATATACATACAACTATTATCAATACACGAACATTTTGCCACAACATCAGCTTATATAAACTACCTATTAAGTTTCTGGCCAATTCAGCAACGATGTCACAGATTTTTTTCCTCATGTTGGACTGCGTTTCCAACTGAATAATCAACAACAATCCACTTTTGATAGATGTCTGATCATCAGGTGAAAGAGCTGGATAAACTTCTTCAAAAGCAGAAGACAAAAGACGTCGTAGAAGGACAGCTGCCATTTGTCTAGCCTATTGAATAAAAAAGTATGTATGTTAAAGTGTTTTATGTGACAACTGTGCTCTTATGAGGAAAGAAAATGCCATCAGGCTTCCAAACTACCAGTTTTACTGTGCAGACCTCTTTAGTGAATTGAATACTTCTCAAGCAACAAATGACAATTATGACAGTGAGTAAAAACACTGTAAAGAAACATCAGCTTACAACCATGCTTCCCACAACTAGAGCTCTTCAAAGAAAATGAATCATGAAAACCACTGAGGTGTTCAGTTTTGTTCCAGAGCTAGACCTTGGACATATTTTCCGGCAAATTAACGACTTTTCTGCTTTACTGAACAATGTTTGAGGCATGTTTTTATACTACTTCAAATGGCCCGCTAAAATAATTATAATCCAGACAGGGTTTTTTTAGAGTAACAAGTGACATAATAGGACAACTTTGTCAAGACAACCTGTAAACCCTCCTTCACTTTCTCAAACAAGTGTCTCTGCCTTATTCCTTTTTTCCCTTCCCCTTTGAAGAGGAAAAGGTGTTAGAGAGCATCTGTCAGCATTTGGTGGCTAGCCCAGCCCCAGCCCTTGACAAAGTCATTATTCAAACATGAGTTAGGAAGGAGAAAAATTCCTTCCCCACTAGGAAATCCATGTGTGCAAAAATTTGATACTACGATATAAGGGTATCTTTCCTTTTCACATCGCTAGAAGCACCAATATTGTGAAAGATGAAATTTCTCCTCAATATAGTGAACTTATATAGGACTTGGGAGCAAAATTGCAGAAACTAAACACAGCGTACACTCTGATGCAGTATTTTTCCTTAGTCCAGGCATCGTGTTTCCGTGCATGTTCTCTGATATCTGATAATGACCAAACTCATATTATATTCACCCCTTTCCTGAGGTAACAATAGGTGGCCAGATAGGGAAAAAAGCTTGTTTTCTTAAAGTATGTAGTCTCAAAGATAAGAATTTCCACCTCTGAAGAACTTAATTTAAAATATTACAAGTCTGACAAACATAGACTGATTGCAAAGTAAGAACAGAAGTAACAAGGCTACAGAAAGACACAAGATCAGCACTGCATGAATTAGGTCCTGGTTATTGTTAATAGCTTAGGAAAAAACTCTAAATTCCCTAAAGCAAATTCAAGCATTTGAAGGAGTGGCAAAGAAGGAACTGACTTATAATAAATGGCATATTTTCCTCAGCAGATATCCAGCTATATCTGAAAATTACTATTGTCAATTTAATTATGACAAACATGACTGGAGTAATGGCAGCTCTGGGGCTGTCTCTTCTGCTATAAGGAAGAAAATATGCATTTCTCACACACACCAAAGGCACTTTTATATTTAAGTATTACAAGATATGTATGCAAACAAGCATTTTAGAATCCTGCAACTTAGCAGCTATAGCTTTTAATGAGAACAGGAACAATATAGAGTGTACACCCCCACAGAAGAACTTCCATCTACCAATGAACTATAAAAAAAGCAGAATTCTCTCCCAGCGTTGGCTTCTTCTGCATGTCTAAAACTACTGAGGTGCTCACATACAACTGGAATGTCAAAGGTATTAACATAAAAAGAAGCCACAATACTCAAATTTCAACATATCCCTTCTTATTAAAAAAATTTACAGTACTTTAAAAACATTCTAGGATTGTACTGATGATGGAACCAAGGCACAAGAAGAAAACCAACTTGCCGAGCAGGGCACCAGAAGAGTCATGAACAGAAATTTGGGATATAATGTTCTGCACTGGCATTCAAAGCATCTAGGTAACCATACATATTCTTTAACATGACAACTGTCTTCTGTAGCACAGTCACTTTTATTTTAATGCTCCTTTTAAGTCCTCATGGAGGATAACATGCATGGGTGAAAGCAATCAATATTTAGAACATGGTCTGAAGATGGACTTGCAAAACATTACTCAGGGATCCAGCCCCATGTGGTATTCAAAGTGCACAGTACCTAAGGTCTGCATACAACTTCAAGGCAGAACTGTGGTGCATCAGGAGTCTGTGGGCTGCCCTCCTTCTCCTCCAAATACTGAAAAAGGAAGTTGCCCACAGCAGTAGTTTTCAAACAAAGAAATGCAGCCCCTTCACGTGAAAGTGTGGAGCGGGAAGGGAAAGGTCAGAGCCTCTAAGAGGGCTCTGAACACAGCAGAAACGGTTTTACACAGCAACTATATTTCACAGGGCTTGAAATCAGTCAACTGTAAATTAGGACACAATTTAAAACTACCAACCTAGAGTTACCCAGGAAGACAACAAATGCAGTAGATAATGTAGAACTTCTGTTTCTCTCCAAGACTTAGGTGGTTAAATCAAAACTGCAAAGAAACAGCCTCTAAGGCCTGAGATGCACACATCCAGAGGAAAAAAAAAAAGCAAACAGGTGGTATATATTTACAACTTTTCTGTTCGACCCTTTAAAATGCAGTTGTACAGGAAGAAGTAGAGTCTTAACTTTGTAACAGTGAGACTACATGTCAGGAAGTTGGAGTCCTAGGTTCAAGTCCCTGAGCTTGAGGTGTATAAACTCACGTATCATCTGGTAAAGAAGTGTTCTAACCACTAAGTCAGATGCTTCCTTCCACTTCTGTGAACAGTACTATGCTGCTACCAGGAAAGTATGAAATGAGAACAGAGGGAAGAGGTGATTATTTCCCCAGTTCAGGCATTTGGTCAGGAGAAAAATCTGTTATACAATCAGGTTTTAAAAGAGTTATTTCTGATCTAGCTTAATAGCTTTTTCCAAGTTAGATTCAAGGGGTCCCAGGCAGAAGATCTGAAATCCCCGTTTCTCAATTTAAATGCCAAAACCATTAGGTTGCAGAGTCAGGATTCCCCAAACTACTGTTCAAATAGTCCTAAGAGTCTTGTATTCTCTACGATACAGCAGCCTAGCTCCTGCAAACAGGGACGGAGTATTTTCTTCAGCCTAGTTTTCCTGTGAGGAGATAAAGCAATAGAGGCTTCGGGATGAAGAGGGATCTGAACTCAGCTGACCCACAGCCTGGGCAAGAGATTTTTAAAGTTCAAGGCTTCTTCCAGCAGCCCGTGTTCAGTGGTGCTGATACATTCAACATGCTCAGAGGACACAAACCAAGCCCAAAGCCCTACCCACCAGTGATACATGCACGATTCTGCCCAACATGTGGATCTACATAAAGCGGACGCAGATATGAAATGCCTAGCTATGGATACCAGCACCACACTGCGCACTCACAGAATGTTACCCTGCATGCTAATACGCAATATTTAGATCAAGCACAAGGATAACTTCACTGAGGTTGATATGTATTTGGACTTACAGGAAAGAGAGTTTATTCACAGATGTGATAATCAGGATTTGTTGAGTCCAACACCTAATGTTAGCTTATAATTTAAGTAGCTATTTAAACCTTTCTTTGATTTATCCACCAGTGGAGTTAAACATCAAGTTATTCTGTTCCTGTTCACCTCTGATGCCTTTGGTAAGATTAACTTCTACAGGTGAAAAGTTCTTTGCACTTGAGTAAGTTGAAAGCCAAGTCTTTGGCCAGATTCTGAAAAAGTTTTGGACTGGGCTATTTCCTCAGCTAACAGGGAATAAAATCAGTAAATACAGGGAACAAGTATTTATTTACACAAGCACAACCTAGGAGCTAGCTGTCAACTCAGGCTTATCAAATGTATTCAAAACAGAATCATGTGCAATGCAGCTAAGCTTTTAGGGCACAGATGATCTGACTTGTGATTATCATATATGATACTATACTGATTAAACGGGCAGTAGCAAATCTTACTTTTCATGGCAAATTTAAATGCAAGATAGACATTCTATAGGTTTCTGTCATTTGAAACATCTCAGAGAGGCAGGAGGATAAACTACATAGCACTTACACAACCAGTTGCTAGTATAATATTGAAGGATTGTCAGAAGAACACCGCTTTGTAAGCAGATAAGCATCAGTATTAGCAAGCTGATACTTAATGAGCATTAAAAAGCACAAATAGCATCTACGTCTAAATTGAATACAATCTATTAGAAGAGAACATTATCCAGAGAGAAGTAGCACACTTATATTGTCCTTATGATATTGTTCAGAAATTCTACAGGCTACATCCTCCAGCTGTTCAGTAAATCTCTAGATCTAAAAAAAAGTCAAACATTTTTACTTTTAAGTGATTCTGACGTTCATTGTGTCTTAAAAGCTTAGTAGTTTTTCACTCTGATATCCAAGTGAATAACAGTTTTACCAATACGTACTATCTGATTGCTGTGTGAACCTTTACAAAACGAAGGAATAACTGAAAGGCACACTTACTGTACACCCACAGAAAAATACAAAAAATACAAAAGCCATCTGAATAAAACATGCAAACCAACTGCTACCTTAAATCCCTCCAATTCTGATTTGAGAAGCACAAGAAGTTTCAGCTGATATGTAAGCTGAACATATTTAGGCACTGGATCCCAAAACGGAAAGCACTTCCTAGTTGTAACTTGAAGGAACATCGTATATAGTCATATATTAGTTACATGTTTTAAGAAAAAACCCCAAAACATTAAGTAAAACATACAACCATATAGCAATGGAGATGTAAGCAGTCACTTAGGAAAGACTATGTTTGAAGCTAAATATCCTACAGGAAAAGGCTCAGCTAGTGAACTTGACTCGCAGCAAAGCAGACGAATGGTTCCTCTATAAATGTGCAGTAAATTAAGATGATTCAGTTAATGCCTGACCTGTTCATTTATCCCAAAATGACCAGCTCTGATTTCTTTCCCCCTCCTCCAATTTCCCTTGAAAATGTGCAAAACTGAAAGATTATCAAGACATACCTCTTCAGCAGCAGCAGTATTCCTGATTGCTTGTAGAAGGAACGTGATCTTAGATTGACCTGGAATATTCTCGTACGTCTCCTGCAGAAAAAGAGATGCAATTTATTGTAAACAATTACTAGAAAGCATGCATTAAGCATTAAGGTGAATTGACTTTCCTTTCAAAACAAGTTTGGTATTCATCCACTTAACAGAAAGTAACATAGCAAAAAACACCTGAACTTATCAAAATAAACATTTCCAGACTATTTTAAGCCACGAGTAAAGCCTTAGTGACCCAATACAACCTACCATATTGGAGTGATCTACATATACATTGCTGGCTACTTATGAGTTAAGAAATGCAACATACATGGAACACTTCTGGGAATCCATCATAGCTTCTGTCACACCAAAGGATTAAGAACTTTGGAAGTCTGTGACTGAACTGTGACCAACAAGTTAATAAACACTGACAAATGTGTAGTCGAAAAATTTCTTTTTTTTTAAAAAGCTTTTCATGGTCTTTACAATGTCATCTTGCAGTCACGCATCTCAACTACATGTTTGGAATAAGAACTTTTCATTCATAAACTTCTGCCTGAATTGCAGAGAGACTAAATAGTCTCCTTCTTAGCGAAACTCTCTTAGTAAAATAGGAAGTTTAAAAAGTTCAGTTACATTGTCTTACACACTTCTGGTGTATTTTTATTTTTCATTCCGTCTGGCTTTTAAAATCATGTTGTTACTTAGAAGCCAGAGTGATCACACAGCAAAATAACCAAATATCCAGAACATGGTATACATGAGCATTTCCAAACTAGAAATGCTTGTTTCTAATATACTAACCTAGGTAGGTAAGAACAGAGGAATTACAAAGTGAGAGCAACCACTTAAAACATTCAGAGAGAGTTCTATGCTTACGAAGTCTTTCAGAGTTACTTTTTGTGGACAAATCTTGAAGACAAATTACTCCACCCTTTCCAAATATTCACCATCCCATCCTGAACTCAGGAAACAAGCCTATAACACAAAGCCCTCACCCATTTCAATCAGTTCCCTGCCTGCCGACTTCCCATTCTTACCATTGCAATGGCTCTTTCTAATACTCTAACAAATTTATACACTTTGACAGCATACCTGCTATTTTCAATGAAGGAGACTCCCTATCACACATTTAATATTAGAAATGATCTTTCTCAATCTTCCGTACCTATTTCCTAGTAGGTCTCTTTCAGAGTGTCAGCTCTTACTTCATATTCTCTCTAGTTGCCTATATGTGCTCACAATCAACAAGACTCTGAATCCCCAGTGAATCCCTGCATTTAAACTAGTTCTTTCATGCATACTGCAAAATTAAATGAGGTTTAGGGTCAGACTAGAAAGTCTTCTCAGATTAACAATTTCCATGAATGCATATGTTTATATTGCACTATTACTTACAAATATAAAGACAAATACAGAAACAAGAAAGTTCCCTAGCATCTGTACATGCATGGACAGCATGGACATAAAGCTATGCTTTCATGGACAGCTGAGGCACTGCAAAAGCTGGTTTCCCTAATGCCAATTCTGATAATAATTAAGTTCTGAGTTGTTTAAACTCATTAGAAAAGGCAGCAACCTTTCCAGCTGTTCACTGGCATAATTCTGTCAACTCAGTAAAGTGAATTCAGAAGATGCTAAAAAGCACCAGTGCAAGCAAGGTAGACAAGAAGAGCATACAGCCAAAAACTGAACTCACCCCCCATGCTGGTGGAAGACTACTTTGCTGGCTCCACCTATCTTACTAACCAGGCCTGGCTATGCTCTAACTGCATACCTGGATCTGCTACATCTTCGAGTTCATGATTTGGTCCCCAGCTACCTTACCCAGAGGTCTAAATTCCTCACACAGCATGACTAACTTTCAGAATATATGTAAGTAAATAGATATTATCTACATTTAGTACTTGTGTTCTTCCAAACCTGAGAAACATATTTTAAACAATATACCATCACCAAGACAAGTAAATAAAAGTTTCTCTGTTGGAAGGTAAGACACACAAATAAGTAAAAGATGGGCTTTTATGTCAACAGACAACATTCCAGCAATTTTCGATGGGAAATAAAATGAATGAACCAGTTTTCAGCAAACTGGTCAGAATAAGTTATGACTGTGTTACCACATACATAGATCCATATATATAAATACTTAACAAGTTTCAGGCGATTAGACTAACCTCTCCCCTCGATGCTGTTTCTTACAGCCTTCACCTCCACAGGCTACGACTCTACATCTCCATCCAGTCTAGTCTTCAGCGTAACAACCCCCACTCTAATTTCAATGACCAGACCTATCAGAAGTAACCCAAGCCTGTCTCCTTCAGTTCCCTCTCTATGCATTTCTCATTCACACTGGTTTTCACTGGACACAAATGAAAACCCACTATTCAATTTCCCTGCAGTTCTCTGAATATTTTAGTATTCAATATTGCCTTCTAAGAGTAAGTAGCCTTTAAAAAAACCTGATGGGGCTTTGCAGATGTTCAAGATCAAATATGGGTCCTGTATGAATTTAACAAGCAGATAGTCTAAAGGCTTTCCAATACTTTAATCCAAAGAAATCCTAATTCAAGAAACATCTTTAAATTAAAAACTCAACGTAGCTACACTGTAAAGACAGATTTGTGTTTCTAGGTATAAGTTCATTAACCCACCACGAAGACTTAGCAGGAGTTCTTCACAGCCATGCATGGTGGAAGAATGAGAGACAAAAGGCATAAATTCAAAAAAGAATGTTCAGACTGGACAGAAGTCCAGACCTCTTTGCTCTAATGAGGACGGTCAAGCAGGAGCAGGATGCTCAGAGAGCCTGTGCAGTCTCCATTCTTGAGGTTTTCAAGACTCAATGGGACAAAGCCCTGAGCTGACCTGGTGTGACCTGACAGCTGACACCGCTTTGTGCGGGAGATTGTGCTCTTGAGGACCCTTCCACTCTGAAAGATCCTACACCGTAAAAACACTTGCAATATGCCTTGGAAAAATGCAGAAATCAATGCCAGATTCAGTGCAGGTAAAGAAGGTAAAGTTACACTACTTGCCAGTATTTGTACACAAAACTAACGGACTTGAAAAAGCTTGGTAATCTATCATGACAATTCAAGTTTCCTGCTCAGGTTGAGTACAATGCATATGTATCTACGAAGACTAAAAAAGCTGCAACTCAATTTCAAGCAAGTTTCTGACAGAATATGTTATGAGTAGGAATTTTAAGTTTTAGACTTCTTTTCCAAGAGCATTTCATTTCACAGGCATTATGACACAGCTGTCCAACAAATCTGCCACGTTGCAATTTTAATAAAGTTCAAAAAGTTGTGAGAAGTGTTCTTGTATTAGATGCAGGCAGCTAAAAAGGGAAAGAAATTCAGCTCCCAGGGAATGGCCTATGTTCCAGTTCTGTGTTCAGAAATGTGGGAATAATTCTTGTTCCTTCTCTAGAAAGCGTTTGTAGTAATCAATACTGAGCTTTGCTAGCTTTCTAAAAATGGTTTGCCTCCCCTCCTTCTCATTCCCAAATTATATTTTAGGAATTTTTCAGGGCAGCATCAGGAACAATAATACTTTTTATTCCTCGCCAAACAATGCGCTGAACTCTGCTGACCACTGAAGTGATGAGAGCGATAAAAG